TTTCATTAAAATTCTTTAAAAGAATTCAATTTTTAAGAAAAAATTTTATTCAAGACATTTTTAATTAAATTTTTTTGGATGAATTCAAAATTATTTTCAAAAATTTTAATAAAATTCTACGTAACAATTCAATTATTATCAAAAAATTGTAATAAAATATGTCAAAATTTCAATTATTTAAAAAAAAGTTTAATAAAATTTGTTGTAATAATTCAATTATTTTCATAAATAATAAAACTTATTAGAGCATTTCAATTATTTTTCATCCAAATTAAAGTAAATTCCTTAAAAAATGCAATTATTCTTAAAAAATTTTGTATTAAAATTCTTAAAAAGAATTCAATTATTTTCAAAAATTTTAATAAAATATGGCAAAATTTCAATTAATTTCAAAACTTTTCGAAATTCAATTATTTTCAATATTTACTATTTCAATAAAATTTCCCAAAAGAATTTAATTATTTAGAAAACATATTTAATAAAATTTCGTTGCAACAATTCAATTATTTTCATAAGTTAAAAATTTTCCGAAAAAATTCAGTTATTTTCAAAACTCATAAAATTTTTTTTAAAAATTCAAATATTTGCAATGTAATTTAATTGAAATTTTTTTAAATAAATTATTATTTTTAAAAATTTTAACAAAATTTGTCGATAGAATTCAATTATTTTTAGAAATTGTTATAAACTCTTTTAAAAAATTCAATTATTTTCAGTACAATTTAAATTAAATTCCTCGTACGAATTTCAATTTTCTTTTAAACAATTGAATTTGTATTTTCACAGAATTTCAATATTATTTAACTAATTTAATTTAATCTCAATTATTTTTAATTTAATTTCTAAATGATTTTTTCGAAAAATGCAATTATTCTTGAAAGTTTTATTGAAATTGTTCGAAAGAATTCAATTATTTTTAAAAAATTGTATAAAGCCCTTTATTTAAATTTTAAAAAATATTCTACTATTTAATAAATTATTTATTTTTGTATTTAAATAATTGAATTCTCGTAGAACTTTCTAATAAGAATTGGATTTAAAATTGAATTTTAGTTAAAAGTTTAGAAAATATTTCAAGAATTGGAAGAATATTGCATTTCCAATTTTTATAAATAATTAAATTTCAATAGATTTTTAAATTAAAATCTTGAAAAATTTAGATTGTTTGTAAAACTATAATAATATTTAAATATTTATTTGGAAATTAAATCATTAAAGTTTTGAATAATTTTATTGAAAAATTTTAACAAAAAAATTGATTGAATTTTGGAAGAATTGCATGCAGTTATAATTTTCAGAAATAGTTAAATTTCTAATAGGTGCTATACATTGAAATCATTTAAAATATTTTAATTCCTGTGGAAAAATAAATAGGTATTTAAACATTTATTTAAAAAAAATATTCTATTTTTGAATATAATAAATTTAATTTAGAAAGTATACTTTTAGTAACTTTTTTTTAAAACTAATTATCGAGAAGGAAGCCTTTTATAGATAAAAATTAATTCCTGAAATATTCACAGTTTTTTGAAAATATCAAATTGATACTAAAGTGGATCATATTAATGCCAATAATTTGGATCAATTTTACATTTGTTCCACTTTTTTTTTTTTTTTTTTTGCTACAGTGATTTGGAACAATATTTTCTAATAAAATTTCCAATTAAAAATATTTTAAAAATCCGTTATTTAATCATTCTCTAAACCTCAGAGACATTAATAGAACTAAAAGAGGAAATTTAAAAATTGGACTGCAATTTATCTGAAATAATAATTCTAACGAAATTGCGTTTTTGATTAACGTTAGATATTAATATTAATTATCTACTTTACTGGTGCATGTAGTGTATATAGATATATATATATAATTAAAAATGAAAAGAAAATTCTTCCTTGTTTCTGTGTGATGTGAGCTTCACTTTGCCGCAGAAGGCTTCCTTTTTCTTCATGTAATTAAGAAGCATCTATCTACTGCCAACGCGATTGAATTTCCAATAATCGTTAGATCATGTCTATGACCCACTCTAGCCGATAAGATAGAAAAAAACAAAAAAAAAACTTTTTTTTCTTTATTATTTCGAAATAATAATTTACAGAAAAATTTTGAAATAATTAATTATCGACAATTTAAATGTATGCTAACTTGTAATTTTAACTCGTAAATTAAAAATTTGTTTTGTTAAAACAAAAATTGATCCAAGGGTATAAATTTCAGAATAGTTGGTTTTATCTCTATTACTAATATTTTTCAAATAGAAAAATTGTTTACGGAGCTTTTAAAAAAGAATATAAATGACGAGGAGTTTTTTTATGATAAACGAAAAAACATTTTTTTCTTTCTTTTCATTCATTTTTATTATTTTTAGCTTTTTTCATTTTTACATTTGTATCAAATTTCTGACCTCTATTTATTATTTGTTGCAATTTGTCGCGTTTCTCTTCTGTATATAGTAGCTATACATGCAGTGACAATCACGTCGAACATCACTGATTTTCAGTAAATTAAAAATGAAAAGTGATTTCGCAGAGACAAACTCAACGGAAATGAAGAGCAATTGTTATCTAGTCAGAAAATGTCGAAAATGGTTTGCAAAATAAAAATTATCGTATTGAGAAAAGAGTTTCTGTAAATTGATTCTTGTATAGATTTCATTTTTTTTTTTGTTTTGATAAATTACTTATTTCATTACTAGTTTTTTTTAAAAATAAATTATCTTCTTTATTATTATTTTTTTCCGTATCATTAATTAATAGCAGGGCTCGAACTAGGTCCGTAAATTTGTTTAAAGTCCGTAAAAGTAAATTTTTTTTTAAAAAGGTATGTAAAGTCCGTAATTTGATTAAAAAAGAACAAAAAGTTCTCAAATTTAACGATATAATTTGGAGAATTTTTAAGATGTTACAAATGATTGCAAAAATTCAATTATTTTTAAAAGTAATAAAATTCTTTGCAGAAATTCAGTTACGTTCAAAAATTTTTTTAAATTCTAATAAAAATTTCAATTATCTTTATACAATATTAAAATTCTTCTCAAAAATTCAATTATTTTCAAAAATTTTAATAAAATTCTTGAAAAAAATGCAATTATTTAGAGAAATAACAAAATTCTTCAAAGGTATTCACTTATTTTTATAAGTAATAATAATTCTTTGCAAAAATTCAATTATTTTTAATACAATTTTAATAAAATTTCATTAAAGAACTGAATTTTTTAAAAAAATTTTAATAACATTTTTCGAAAGAATCCAATTATTTGATAAAATTTCAATAAATCCTTCGAAACAATTAAGATATTTTTTATAAAGTAGTAAAATGCATCTTATGAATTAAATTATTTTTCATAAATAATAAAATTTTTCTCAGGAATTTAGTTGTTTTCAATACAATTAGTAACAAATTGGATTGTATTCAATAAATTAAAGAAATTTTTCGAAAGAATTCAATTATTTTCATAAACAATAAAACTCATCACAGACGATTTCAATTATTTTTAATCCAAATAAAAATAAATTCCTCGAAAAATGCAATTTCTTAAAAAATGTTATTAAAATTCTTCAAAAAAATTCAATTATCAAAAAAAAATTTTATTCAAGACATTTTTAATTAAATTTTTTTGGATGAATTTAATTATTTCAAAAATTTTAATGAAATTCTTTGTCACAATTCAATTATTTTCAAAAATTTTTAATAAAATTCTTCGTAACAATTTAATTATTATCAAAAAATTTTAATAAAATATGGCAAAAAAATTTATAAATTTCGTTGCAAGAATTCAATTATTTTTATAAATCTTATTAAAATTTTTCGTATCAATTAATTTATTTTAAATTATTCTCAAAAATGTTATTAAAATTCGTCGAAAGAATTCAATTATTTAAAAATTTGTTGACAAATAAATTATTAATTAATTCAATAATTTATTTATTTTTGTATTTAAATAATTCAATTCTCATAGAATTATATCTGATTTTTCATACTTTTTAACTAACAATTCTATAGAATTTTTTTTATTGAAAAATTTTAATTTCATTTCTGTTAAAATTAGTTGAATTTTTTTGAATTATATTTAATTATTTCAAAAGTTTTAACCCAATTCTTTGAAAGCATTCAATTATCTTGATTAATAAAAAAATTCATCCCAGAAATTCAATTATGTTTTGAAATTTGAATAAAATTCTATATAAAATTCAATTATTTTCATAAATATCAATATTCACCATAAAAATTCAATTATTTTGAAAATTATTAAAATTTTTCGCAGAAATTCAATTATTTTCAAAAATTTTTTTTTTAAATAATCGAAATTTCACATAGAATTGAATTGTAAACAAATGGATTTGAAAATTCTCAAAATGAACTTTTTCGAAAATTATTAAAAATAATTGATATTTAAATAAGAATTTTAGTTGGAAATTGTAAAAAATAATAATTGAATTGAAATGAGGAAAATAATTTTGAAAATGTTACAGTCTACAGTATTATTTTTTTTGTAAAATTTTTATTTAATTTCTGTTAAAATTAATTGAATCTTTTTGAATTATATTTAATTATTTCAAAAGTTTTAATGCAATTCTTCAAAAGAATTCAATTATCTTGATTAATAACAAAATTTTTCGCAGAAATTCAATTATTTTCAAAATTTTTTTTTAAATAATCGAAATTTCACATAAAATTGAATTGTAAACAAATGGATTTGAAAATTCTGAAAATGAACTTTTTCGAAAATTATTAAAAATAATTGATTTAAAATAAGAATTTTAGTTTAAAATTGTAAAAAATAGCCTTGTAATAGTTCAAAAAAATAGGAGGATATAAAAGATTGATACCTATGTTAATAGTATACAAAAAGGATGAAACATGAAATAGAAACTGATTGAATTTTTAACAAATAAAAATGCATTCGTATATATACAATACTTATATTATATATATTTTATTGTTTGTTTCTTAAAAATGCAATAATTCAACATTTTTTTTTTTTTTTTTTTCTTTGGTTTGCCTTCTTTGGTCACGCAAGTATAACACTTTTGTAAAAAAATTGTACAATATATGTATAATATTATATTTCAATGTCTTTTTGTTGCTCGTCGTTATGTTTTTTTTCAATAATTATTAATTTGTTTTCGTGTTTCACTAAACTCAATGCAGTCACACTTTCAACTCCTCTTGTACTGTCGAATCCTCTTGCATTTCTTCTTGGATCTTGTATTCCAAACATGGTTTTCAATGACAATAGAAATTGCTTATTTAAACCTGCATAAATAATTGGATTGTAGCAAATCGATGATTTTGCTAAGATTGCTGGCACCATTGCTATCTCGGCTGAAAGTTTCATCTACAATTGTTATTAATTATTTTTCATTAGTTCTCTTATATTTAATAATAATTCTTCAAAATGAAATTTTATTACTTTTCGTCATTTTTCTCTCATATCAACTGTGCGGATAATAATCTCTAAGAAATCTATTGTTGTTCTTTAATTGAAAAAAAAGAAAAGAAAATTAGATATTTAATTTATTTTTCATTAGATACTGTTTGAGAATATTATTATTGTTATTTTTTTATTTTTTTTTTTGAACTATAGGTAGTTCGAAACTAGTTGGAATTTTAATAAATTTCATTATAAAAAAAACCGTATCCAGGCCTTCTTATTACTCAACAAATTAATTAATATGGTCAAACAAAAACAAAAATTACAAAATATTATTGTTATTGTTACAGGGTTGCCACAAAAATTTGAAATTTTTGAAAATAATTTATTCAATTCTTTCAAGAAATTTAATTAAAAATGAATTGAAAATAATTATCAAATTCTAATAAAACAATTATATTAAAATTTTTTTAAATAATTCAATTCTTTCGTAGAATTTTAATAAAATTTTTAAGAATAATTGCAATCTTCAAAAAATGCATTTAATATTGTATTAAGAATAATTGAATTCTTACAACGAATTTTCTAAAAAATTAATGAAATTAATTAATTAAATTAATTAATAAACAAATTAAATCGAATTTTTTTAAAATAATTGAATTCTTTAGAAGAATTTTAATAAAATTTATAAGAATAATTTCATTTTTCGAGGAATTCATTTAATATTGTTTAAAAAATTATTAAAATCCTGCAAATGAATTTTATTATTTATGAAAATGATTGAATTCTTTGGGGAAATTTAAAAATGTAATATTGTTTTGAAAATAATTGAATTCTTGCCAAGAATTTTATTAAAATTTTTGAAAATAATTCAATTCTTTTAAGAATTTTTAATTAAAAATGTTTTGAAAATAATTTTTAAATTCTACTAAAAATATTATAAATCTTTTTTAAATAATTGAATTCTTTCGAAGAATTTTAACAAAATTTGTAATAATAATTGAATTCTTTCGAAGAATATTAACAAAACTTGTAATAATAATTGAATTATTTCGAAGAATATTAACAAAATTTGTAATAATAATTAAATTCTTTCGTGAAATCCATTTAATATTGTATTAAAAATAATTGAAATCGTGAGATGAGTTTTATTATTTTTGAAAATAAATGAATTATTTTAAAGAATTTTATAAAAATTTTTAAAAATAGTTGAAATCCTATGGAGAATTTTATTATTTATAAAAATGATTGAATTCTTGGCAAGAATTACATTACAATTTTTAAAAATAATTTAATTCTTTCAAGAAATTTAATTGAAAAAGTTTTAAAAATAATTTTTAAATTCTAATAAAAAAATTATATCAAATTTTTTTTTAAATAATTGAATTCTTTCGAAGAATTTTAATAAAATTTATTTAATTTTATATTAAAAATAATTGAAGTCCAGCAATGAGTTTTATTATTTATGAAAATAATTGAATTCTTGCAACGTTTTTCATTAAAATTTTTCAAAATAATTGAATTCCTGAGAAGAATTATATTATTTATAAATATAATTGAAATCTTGCGAGGGATTCTATTAAATTTTTTTCAAATAATTGAATTCCTGTGAAGAATCTCATTAAAATATTTGAAAATAATTGAGTTCTTACGAAAAAAAATTTTTTTTTTATAAAATTAACTGGATTATTGCGAAAAAAATTATAGATTTGTAAATAATTGAATTCCTGTGAAATTTTTATTATTTATGAAAATAATGAAATGTTTGCGTATAGAAATGTATCTAAAGTTTTTTTTAAATAAATTGAATTCTTTTGGAAAATTTTATTAAAATAGTAGATATATTGAAAATCATTGAATTAAAGGAAAATTTTGAAAATATTTGAATTTCGAAGAAGAATTTTATTATTTATAAAGATAATTGAAATTTTGACGAGAATAAAAATCTCTGACTTTTATCTGATCTGTGGCAACCCTGTGTTTTTTTTACAGAATTAAATATGTGACAAAACTTTATTTATTTCAAATCCAATCGTATGAAATAAAGTTGACAAAATACGTCAAATTAATTAGCTGGAATATTTAATTTACATCGAAAATGAAATAACGAAATTCTTCAGAGAAAATAATTTAATGACGTATCAAAAAAAAAAATAAATAAATAAATAATACGATTTTTAAATTGGTTTGCTTCCCTCATTTCTCTTATTACTACGTCTATAAAATTATTACAGGAATTAATTTTTCATTGTCAGATTTACATATAAATATGTGTGAGAAATATATTTTTACAATTTCGAGTTAAATCAAATTTTTATAGAATCAAAAAAAAATTCTCCTCTCTAAAACATTTTTTTTAATTATCTTTAGACAAAAAATATTTTTATTCTCACTTGTTTTCAGAATTTTCAATTAAAAATATTTTCATTGCTATTTCTGCACAATATTTTCCACCTCACTTCACATGTAATTTTTATTATTATTCTTTTTGAAGTGAAAGCCATCTCTTGCTAATTATTAAATGAAGATTTGAAAAGAGAATGTTCATATTTTTATTTTACTATATAAATAGAGATTTGCAAAAAATCAATTGGTTGATTAGAAAAAAATTTTATAGTTGTAGAAACTTGGTTAAAATTTCATACTTGAAAGAATTTTAAAGTGCGTAATTAATTTTATTTTATAGTTGTCTGTTTTTACAAACAAGTAAATTAAAAAATTAGCTTTAAAATAAAATAGTTTTAAATCATTTTCGTTTTAGGATGTAAACGGTTTTAGACTTTGTTTTTTCTGTGATTAAACTGTTTTATAATAGTTTTGAATTTTTGATATAAAGAAATTTTGAAATTGAAAAAAAAATGTTAATAATAATTTTATTTTGTGGAAAAAAGTGTTACTTACATGAAAATATTGTGCTCCAAGAGCAGCAATGGAGTAGGGAGTCCAAGCAATTATAAAAGCAAAAATCATTAGAGCCACCATTTTTGTGACTTTGTTCTCATGCCTTCGTCTCGATCCTAAAATTTCAATAATAACTACACGTACGATCTTTATTGTACCATTTGAAATTGTATAATTTTAATGGATTCTATCCGCATCATATCATGCATTTAATATGCATATTGTACATTATGATTCGGATGAACCTACATTCAGAAATGGTTATTGCATTTGATTTTTTTAAAGTAGCCTAAGAATTGAATATTATTTTTTGATTCATTGTCAAATTGGTTTCAAATTATTACTTTAAATACTTCTTTGCCGCATAAACATAAGAAACATTAGTTGGAATTTTTATAGTCTAGATTTTATTTTAGTTCCTTGTCTTTATAAGTTTATGATTTTTGAATTAGTGTTCGAAAAGAAAATTTCTACTAAAAGAAAAGTTTAGCAATTAAAATTAAGATTAACAAGAATTCTTGTTTACTTTCATTCGATGTTTACAAATCTCAAATTTTTTGCGGATTTTGGATCGGGTCTAAAAATTAACGGAAATGCAGTTTAGGTCCCAGTCTTCAAACTGAATACAAACGTAAAATTCAAAATTTAGAAAGTCGATTCGGAACCAAAACTAATGTATCTTCTGTTGTGTCCTTTAAATTCATTTGAATGTAGAAATTTAGGGAGATAAATTGCGGACAGTTGAGATTTATTACTTTATAGTATAAAATGGTTAAAATAACTTTATTCATCGTCGACATTGTTAAATAAATACATAACGATGAATAAAGTTTGTATTATTTTGAATTCTTTTTTTCTAAAATATACAGGAATTTCTCACCAATTCTTCTCTTAACATTTCTCAATGTAACGATGATTGAACCATAACTCGATCCTATTATAACTACAGGAATGATTAAACCAAAGAGAAAGAGATATGAGATGTAACTCCTAATATGTGTTTCGGGGTCGTGAATTTCCCATGACACACTACAAGATATATTTTCAGCTTCTGGTCCATAACTACCCCAGCCAAATACCGGTGGCAATGACAGAGATAAAGCATAAATCCACACAAACAGAGACCACAGAAGGGCTTGTCTAGAACAGAAAGTTTCACACAAATTTAAAGAGATTTTTATCTTTTTTCTATAGCTATTCATTCTCTATTATTTTTGTATAAATATTATATTTGCGCTTAGAATAGTGATATTTATTTTGAATTTCAGTTTACTATTTCTGTGTAATAGGAAGTTTGAGGTTTTCTTTTGTAAATGGATTGCCATTCAGATTTCAGACAGGCTAGATTTTCATCCTATCTTATTTACATTTGGGTATAGAATGTAAATCATAATTCTCAAACTTGACTTTCACATATTAATTCTTTAAAAAAATAAAAATATTTCTGTTTAATTATTTACATGGAAAAACCACAATTTTTCTTCGGATAGAAAATTGAGATAAAAAACGTATGAAAATTGTTGCGCACCGCAACAATTTTAGTACGTTTTTTGTCTCAATTTTATATCCGAAGAAAAATTGTGCTTTTTATTATAAAGGAAATTAAAAATTGAAATCAAATCCGTTTAAATATTAATTTGTCAAACTCTAAATTTGATTATTAATAATAGAATTACGAATATTGACGAAGATGTAGAGATTCAATATGGAGATGCTACTCTCCACCTGCGAACGCCAAGGTCACCGTCAGATGGCACTTCAGTCCCTTCTTGGAATTTTTTCTGCCACCTGGTGGTGACCTTGGCGTTCTCAAGTGGAGAAATTAAAACCATCATTTTATCTCTGAAAATTTTTTTTATAATTAAAAAAATGTGAGAATAATTTAAATTGTGTTTTCAGAGCAAAATAATATGCTTTTTAATTAAACACAAAACATAGAATTATTAAATAAATAATATGCGACTATTTGCAATTACTACGAACATTTTATCACACTTTTGATATTTTTTTATTTCTAAATTCTGAAAATAATAATAACAAATTTAATAATAAAAATAATAATAATAAATTAAAATAATAATATAATTATAATAAATAATAATAATATAATTATATTATTATTAATAATAATATTATTAATAATAAATTAAATAATAAAAATAATAATAATAAATTTACTAATAAAACTAATAATAATAAATTAAATAATAAAAATAATAATATAATAATAAAAAAAAATAATTACAAAAATTATAAAAAATAAAAATATTTTTAATTTAAAAGACAAATTTTAGTATTGCACTCTGAAAAGAATTTATTTTATTCAAATAATTCGGACGACTTGATTATTATCCAACAAATATTTATTTATTACGATATTTGCTTCAAATAAATGCAGAAATTATTAATTTTTTTTACATTGCTTATAAAATTTTATACTTTTCAAGAAATAAAAATTTTTATTATCGAATTTTTAAAATTCATTCCATAAAAAATTAGATTAGATTTAAAAAAAATTCCAAATTGAGATTATAATAATTAAGAGCCGTTTATCAGAATCTTCTATATTCAATATAGCATTCTTGAACCTGGATTATCGCAATAAATTCCATTGAGATTTATATTTCAGAAGAGTATATTTTTAATATCAAACTTGCTAATTCCTGCAGTAAAATTTCAATTAAAATTATGAATTTTAATTGATTATGACATGAAATTTTAATTCCCTCGATTTAAATTGTAACAATGTTTGAGAAATATTTCACATTATTATACATATTTAAATATAGATTGTTTTTAATTTTTCATCACAAAGAGTAATATATATAAATTCTAAAATATTTTTTATTTAATACCTTAAATTTTTTTAATAATTAAAATTTCTATATTCGACTCAAATTAAAATATATTTTCATTTGAAACCATTCCAATATATAACCGCATATCAATTTTGCAGACACACTTTATTGAATAAAATTTCTAGTTAGTAGAATTCTGAGATATCGCAGAATTTCCATTTTTGATAAATATTTATTTCTTTGAATTTTCGTTTGTATAGGATTAATTAATATTAATGAAATTAAAAAATTTTTTTTTGCACCTAGTCGAAAAAGTTCTGTAGAATTTTACTTTATTCTTTCTTTTAATTTATTCTTTAGAATTATTCTGTACAAAAATTCTAGTGAATTATCTTAAATTCTTCAGAATTCTTAATTTTATTCAAAATTTTTATTTTCTAAAATTTGAAGTTGAAACTTTTTGAAATTCAATTAGATTTATAAACAATGTAAACGCTTCTCTTATAAAACTCAATTATTTTTTTTTTAATATTTAATTAAAATTCTTTTCTAAATTAATTATTTTTAATAATTTTTGAGAAAATTCATTTGTTTATAATACTAATTTTTTTAGTGTAACAAAGGTTTCAAATTGAAATTTTTGTAAATTTTAATGTTGAATAATTTTAATTAAAAAGCATGAAGAACTTAGTTTTTAGAAAAAAAGTTTCATTAAAAATTTTTTGAATTATTGAAATGTTATAAAATTTAATTGAAAACATTTAAGTTCAGAAGTATTTTAAATGAAATTTTTCTGTTTTTAATAATCCAATTCTCAAAATACTTTTTTGAAAATTACTAAAATTATAATTGCTTAAGAAGAATTTTAATAAAAAATTCTAAAACATAATTGAATTTACGAAAAAATTCTTTCGAGGAATTTTCTTAAAATTATTAAAAATAATAAAATTCTTTACAAAAGTTCTATTAAAATTATAGTGTAAATGAATTCCTGCGAAGAATTTTTATTATTTATGAAAAGACTTGAATTCTTGCGAAAAAATTTCTGAAAATAATTAAAATGTTTCTGATAATTTTATTATAATTTTTAAAAATAATTGAAACCTTCGAGAAATTTAATTAAAAATTTGTTTGAAAATAGCAGAATTTCTGCAAAGAATTTTGTCAGGCTCGGTGAAACTATAGCGACCCGCCGGCCGCCAGCCATCTGAAAAATCCATGGGCGCCGACACGGGCGATTTTACTTTTCGCCGCCAACTCGCTCCCGTATACCTGCTCGGCGTCGAAATCTCGCTCCCGGGCCCTTCCCCTACTCTACCTACTTTCTGGGCACCGTCAGTCAGACATACATGGTATGAACTACTTCTCCCCCCACAAAGATGCAGTCAAATTTCATTGACGCCCTTCCCCTGTCATTTTATTCTCAGATTTCGAAGGAAAATTCTCGTAAAAATCGCAATTATCTTTATAAATAACAAAATTTTCCTCCAAAGTTCAATTATTTTAATAAATGTCAAAAAATTCTTGTCCTAATTTCAATTATATTCAATAATAACATTTTTTTAAGGAATTCAAAAAAAAAAAATGTAGCACTTCTGCTGCTCACCGCGGAGGTCTACAAAAAACTTAGCACCATTTAATAAAAAAATTTTGAAAAACACTGTTTTAAGCCTCAAAACAGGTATAACCCTTTAAGTAAAATTATTCAAAAGTGTAATTCTTATTAAAAAGAATGATTGATTGTCTAAAATTGTATTAAAAATAATATAATAAAAATCCTGTGTAGAATTTTCTTATTTGAAAATAATCGAATTTATGTAAAGAACTGAATACTAGGAGAGGGGAGAGTAGAAAATTTGACTGCATCTTTGTGGGGAGAGAAGTAGTTCATACCATGTATGTCTGACTGACGGTGCCCGGAAAGTAGGTAGAGTGGGGGAAGGGCCCGGGAGCGAGATTTCGACGCCGAGCAGGTATACGGGAGCGAGTTGGCGTCGAAAAGTAGACTGCCCCGCCAACACACATAGTAGCACGGTGGCCCTATACGGTTCAATCAACGCAAAAACAACGTACGCTAGCTATTACAGTTTATAGAAAAAAATGCAATAATCACAATTTAAAGAGCAATAATCACCCTTAAATTTGTGACCAAAAAATAAAAATTTGGCATAAAATTGTTCGAATTTTTGATAGCCAACGTCCCTACCCGCCCGTATCAGAAAAACGAAAATTGGAAAAAAAATCGGAAAAAATTCATAACTCGAATAATTTTTGACCAATTCTTTGTTTCTTAGTCGCAAATTAAAGAGGGATTAATGGTTCTTAAAATGTGACCAATAAGAATTTATTTAAAAAATTTTTGATAGCCAGCGTCCCCACCCGCCCGTATCAGAAAAACGAAAATTAAAAAAAAATCGGAAAAAAATTCATAACTCGAATAATTTTTGACCAATTCATTGTTTCTTGGTCGCAAATTAAAGAGGGATTAATGGTCCTTAAAATGTGACCAATAAGAATTTATTTAAAAAATTTTTGATAGCCAGCGTCCCCACCCGCCCGTATCAGAAAAACGAAAATTAAAAAGAAATCGGAAAAAAATTCATAACTCGAATAATTTTTGACCAATTCATTGTTTCTTGGTCGCAAATTAAAGGGGGATTCTTGCTCTTTAAAATGTGACAATTAAAAATATTTTTAATAAATTTTTGATAGCCAGCGTCCCCACCCGCCCGTATCAGAAAAACGAAAATTGGAAAAAAAATCGGAAAAAATTCATAACTCGAATAATTTTTGACCAATTCTTTGTTTCTTAGTCGCAAATTAAAGAGGGATTAATGGTTCTTAAAATGTGACCAATAAGAATTTATTTAAAAAATTTTTGATAGCCAGCGTCCCCACCCGCCCGTATCAGAAAAACGAAAATTAAAAAAAAATCGGAAAAAAATTCATAACTCGAATAATTTTTGACCAATTCATTGTTTCTTGGTCGCAAATTAAAGAGGGATTAATGGTCCTTAAAATGTGACCAATAAGAATTTATTTAAAAAATTTTTGATAGCCAGCGTCCCCACCCGCCCGTATCAGAAAAACGAAAATTAAAAAAAAATCGGAAAAAAATTCATAACTCGAATAATTTTTGACCAATTCATTGTTTCTTGGTTGCAAATTAAAGGGGGATTCTTGCTCTTTAAAATGTGACAATTCAAAATATTTTTAATAAATTTTTTAATGCCAGCGTCCCCACCCGCCCGTATCAGAAAAACGAAAATTGGAAACAAAATCGGAAAAAATTCATAACTCGAATAATTTTTGACCAATTCTTTGTTTCTTGGTCGCAAATTA